CGGCCACATTCAAAATCTTTTCGATCAGAGACAGAGAACATTTGAGCAGTCCCGTGACCACTGCGTAACTTTCAATACCTGTTAGCCAGAACCTTAAACACCATTTAAGGAAGTTTATGTCCTATGGAACCAGAGTGTTCTTTAACACTGACTAAAGGAGATCGTTTTATACGTCAAGGACTGAACAAAACGGTCATCCTCTCAACCAATGCTTTTGGGAGAGAATAAATTCTTCTGCAGTGCCGATTTTGAAAAAAACCGAGGCCTTTGCTAGCTTCTTCATAGTACTTTCTCTTTTCACAAAGAATGCCGTAGTAACCTAATAAAAGTAAGAGATGAAAGCTTCTGTTTACCAATTATCACTCCCGAGATCATCACTCCCGAGGTTGCAAAAAATTTAAAGCTTTGAAAACATCGCAGCCGGTTACTTCTAACGGCATACCGCAGTCGTTTTACAGAATGTTTCCCACCCATCTTTCTTTTCCCCTAAGCCACATTTTCAACATCCTCTTATACTAGAGCAGATCCCTAATCCAAGGAAAGCTGCAGTCGTGACAAAGATTCCAAAAGGGAAGGGATCTACAACTGCTAGCAACTACTGCTCGATCAGTGTCCTTCCCACATCATTGAAGGTGCTTGAGAGAAAGCAAATGTTTCTTGATGCTTGAGAGCATCAAGAAACATTTGTTTGAATGGTTGGATCACCTGATCTAGCGGAATATCCCACCTGCTCACAGTTGATAGACTGTTCATACCATTGGATTAAAGCATTAGGCGAAGGGATGTAGTTTACTTTGATCTTTTCAAGCCTTCGACACTGTTTGTCGTAAGTGCTTTTGGGCAGATTGCGGAATATAAGAATAGAAGGCACTTTACTTGATTTGTTCCGATCTTACCTTGGTGATAGAAAGTCGATAGTGCGCTTCTCTCAAAACTTTTCTTTTCCTAAGAGAGTCTGTTGGGCGTCCCACAGGGAAAGATTTTGTCGCCCGTACTTTTTCTCATATACACGTAGATAATTGTGCATGCATACGCGGACATCAAAATCACTGCAGCCTATAGTGAAACCGAAAAAGAAGCAATTCAGCGGGCTTTTACGGAATCTGTCGAACGTATGCTGCAGTAGGCGGATTTTTGGCATCTCAAAGTCAACATTTACAAAAGCCAGCATCTCCCCATCAGATCGCTTTCACTATACAATTATGACATGTGCTAGTAAAAATGTTAGTAAGTAGGGAACTGCTTGATTTTGGCGTATAATTTGCAGTGATTTAAAATTTGAGAGTCATATTGACGAGGACAAGGGCTTGAGAGTTCTGCACTGTCTATTTCGAAACGTCACAAATTCGAATCTTTTTCTTTCGATTAGACTTTTCAAAATGTTCGTTGGCTGGAATGTTTGCCTATTAGTCTTTTATGCCTTAAAAATCCAGCGCACTTCAAAAAATCAAAATAGACATTCTACGAGTGTTAAGCATTTGGAACGTCAAACAATTTTTTTGTCGTTTTTTCTTTTCATTCTCCATCCTTGATTGGCTCGGTCCTTGTTGACTCGTTTAGATCCTGCCTTGCAGTAAGTTGGATAGTGTGCCTTTCATATGCTTCTTATGTACGTGTGCAGTTTTGTCGGCTAATTCTTATCACTTTTCATCATCTTTTCAAATATCTCCATCTAGTCTTTGAAGGCTTTTTGTTTAGATCTTTTGTTTCCTTTGCATTATACTGACGGTAATATGAGTACACTTTTGGCGTTGTTTTGTCTTCTTCCGCCAGTCCGGCCAGCCATGGCCGGTTCGTGGAGAGGAGCGGGGCTGCGCCAAGCGGTGGTACTGGCAGCCCTATGCCCAGTACCTTTTGGCTTGTCTGACGGGGGCTGCCAGAGTAACCGACCCTCGGGCTTCCGGTCTGTCTATCTGTCTGATAGCTGATATATCTGACGGGCGAAGGGGGACAATGTTGCCAACGTTGTTTATGTTCCTCTTTTCCTCCACTGTGTGCAAAGTAGATTGGTAGATGTGGATGACTGTTTTTCCATCACAGTGTGATTCAACTTTGTTGTTTTTTTCTTTTTTTCTATTTACTGTCGTGTTATATACCTTGCCTTGATCTAACTTTTTTGTATCAAAGCACGCCTTCTGGCGTACAAAATAAATAAATAAATGAAAATTTGGAGACTTCTCGCCGATGCCGAACCCATATCTGGGCTTTGCAGCGCACGAAAATGGCTAAAATGAGCTTTTTTCAAAGCGCTCCATGTCCGCACTCGCTGCAAACTGTGTAAGTGAGAGGAATCCGGATCGAAAAAGAGGGGTCCCTATGATTTCCAAAATAGATTTCAGCCTTCTTTTCGCTCCCTTTACTCAGAGATCAGTTGGGGTGGGGGGGGGGGGGCTGCCACTGCAACGCTTCAAAATCTCAATGCACCTCATTTTGCCGGGACGCTGCCTTTAGAGGCACCGTCCACCTTGAGTTGTGGGTCTTGAGCTTTTCAAATTTTACGTTAGTAGACCACCCTACAAACCAATGCTCAAATCGCGGCTCAAAAGCCGCTTTGGAGGCAATGAAATCACTTCAGAATAGCGAAGATGCGTTGAGACGCCAAGTCGGCAGTGGCGGTCCCAGGATTTTGGCCCGGGAGGAGGGGGCGGCAAAATTTTCAAAAGGAAGTGCGTGGCTTTAGCCACGCACTCCGAAAAATTTTTTGGGGTGCTTCCCAAAATTTTGCGGATCCCCAACCTCAGACTGGAAAAAGGTTATAAGGCTAGTTTGAATTTTTAATAAATTTAAAAAATTATTTTAATTAATTACAAAAATAAACAAGTCGTTTGCACATTTTTATAACCCATATAGGTAAGTTTCAAAAATTTCGCGACTCATTCTCGGGGGGGGGGGGCCGCCCCCCCCCCTCGGACCGCCATTGCAAGTCGGCACCGCCCCTCTCCAGTAATGCTCGCACATGCGTGCGCGCTTATCCAATCACTGTTACGGAGAACCGGCCTGCAGGTTCTTCGGAACGGCTTCGCAGATTCTCGACTTCGTATCTCAAATCAGGGACATAAGAAGGCCTCGGAAAACCAAAACATGGAAGTCGTACTGGGTGGACGGTGCCTCTAACAGTTAAACAACGCACACTTATACTTCGGGTATAGTTGACTCGAATTCGTGGTTGCAATTGATCGTCGGAGATTTCGATGGTTAGGGGCATGAGAATGCGACGACGAATTCGCTCATCGTGAGTACATGAGCGTAGTATACGCGATCTCATGTGTTTGCACACATGGCAGCTACGGCGAAACGTGCTCTCAAAGTGGGAAAAAACGAATTTCTATCTTTCAAGCAATGTTCATTTGTCTTACTGTAAATGCAACCAGCTCCAGTATTTAGTTGTAGTATGTGGCTTTTGTAAGGTTAACAGCAGGCAATACACTTGCTCGAAAAAAAAACGACCTAAAGCATTTTATATTTTATCAATAATAATAATAATTGATTGTATTAATTGTAAATGTATTAAAAAAACCCTCGCAAGCAACTTTCAGTCAGCGATATTACTCAAGCGCCTCGTAGCACAGGCGACGCAATAAAGCCATTTGCCATAGCTGCGGCGATTATCGCTGGAAAATTATGCCCTAGCAAAAAACTGTCAGCGTTCCGTTACGCTGGATAACTACAGCAACAGCCATTGCGGACGACGGGTGTGCAATTGATGTGTGACAGTAGTCAATCCGCAAAAATTGCGCAGTGACGAAAAAAGCGAGCATTATGCGCTTTACACTGCATAACGGTAACAGTAAACAATTGAATAAGTAAAGATACTTGGAAATGTACATTTATTATTTTGTCTGATAAACCTCATAATTCCTCGTCCGCAAATGTTCCACAGGTAAGAAGGGCAGATTTGAAATCAGCGTTTTATGCTCTCCAATATGGCATACATCCAATCTGAAAGGTCACTTCGACTGAACATGACCTCGTTAGTGTGACGAGGTTTAGGCAAAAATCGACTGGGAGCCTGAGCAAGGCATTTTGTAAACGTTATCAAATTCGATCAAGCGCTTAGCCAATAGGGTAATTATCTGAGATCGGAACTTATGGCGTTTACGAGATACGTTCGAGACCGCTTTGGATGATGTCATGCGAAAGAACGCGGTGTTTTTGTATTTTAGAGGCACAAGCAAAGAGAGTAACGCCAAGCTAAGAGCTAAGAGATGCTAGGAACGCACTAGATTGCAGAGTTGCTATCGAAGATGAGGCAACGTTAAACGTAAAAGAATATGTAAAAACCGCATACATATCTAATTCCATTCCACCTTTTAGCTCGTATTTTGCCTGCACAACTAGCTAGCGGGCATCAACAGGGTTTCACAGGAGCAACGATGACTACTCTAGCGGACAACGACAGGAGATAAAGCTTTCAGCCATATTATAGCCTTACGAATCAAGCTGCCAGCTCATAGCATTAAGCCACCCGCTCGAAAAAAAAACCTTGCGAACCTCTCCATTGTTTTTCGATCTCTGCCAGATTGACGGAATCGCTGCCTCGTCGTCGCCTTCTGGCTGCCTAGTAATAAACGCCCTCTGCAGTTATTTTCCGTCTCATGGAAAATTGCGGTTGCCCGCTGATAGCCCGTCGCTGTCCGCTCACCGCCTTTTTTGCAGCATCGTCGCACGCTCATTGAAACTGTTAAGTATCGCCGCCTCACCATAACCTTTGATTTTCTGACGCATCATGCGTTACGAGTTAGTTTTGAGGCAAACCTATGAATACCTCGCCATAGTCTCGCGAGATAATTCGACCTGTCACGACATGGTCTCTTTGTGACGACGTGAAAATTTACGACGGGCCCTTATTCACTCCTACATGGGCTAATTCAATCATAGTCCAGATCGCTATGGTTCAGATTGGAGGTGAAGTCATTTAGCAAACAAAGAGCATAACGATGCTTTAATAACTGTTCAGGAAGTACTGCTGGTTGCGGAATTGTTAGCAAACATTGACTCACAATCGACATTCCTTTATCTATAGGACTAAGCACTTGAAGGTTTTGAAAGTATGCAGCGAAGCCTTCATTAAGCCAAAGTTCTTCCCACCAGCTCAACGTCACCAAATTGCCAAACCACTGAAAAAACCAGTTTTACCCTAAAAACACATCTGAAATTTCACGTCAATATACGATATGCTCTTTGAAAAGCAGCTTTCTCAGTTACTTTGTCCCCATGAGTCACTCAACAAATGAAGTTCAAAATTGTTACCCTATGATATGATATGAAAAGCAGCGATAGATAAGAAAGTAACAGAACCGCCCTGTTTTGTCTTCCAGGAAATATAAGGTGCGTTTCATAACTATACGACCCTTCCCCCCGAAATTTTGGATTTCCGGATTTACAGAAGGATCGAGTTCTCCAGTCAGTGTCTGTGTGATCTAAATATGATATTGAATGAAATCACGTCTCAATCAAAACGTCTACTCACTTGCTTTTCTACATGTAAAGACATGTCTATTCTTCCATTATTTCATAACAATACGACACCTTCGAGCAAGGTACTTTTTCCAAGGAAAACAAAAACCAGAACGGAATTTTTTTGATTAATCGGGCCCACCGGGCTTTTTTACCACTTCATCAAGTCTATTAGAAATGCTTCTGACAAATTTGCGTCCAAAACAACTGCCAACTTCTTCAATGCTCGTACTGTTTGTATCTTATCAGAAACACTGTGCCAGTTATCTCCAGAGATTTTCTGAAAGGATTCAAGACAGGACACTATGGTCACATTTACAGAAGCTGCTTATGATGCTGGTGAAGACGGCTGTAAGTAACCCGCGTGCGTGTTCACATGCGTTGCCCTGCTGCGAAACTCAATGTTGTTACAGGAGCCTTGTAAGGAAAATGACAGGATCGAAGGATCAGCTAATGATTTGGTGGTGTAATCCAATCAAACAAATTTTGTTTAGACCACTGTGATGGCTAGAGGATTGATTGGCCGGATGTAAGCGAAATCCACATCATTTTAGCGAGAAAAACTATAGCGGTGGATCTTCTACAATCTGAAAGCATTTTTGTGGTTAAAAAGCCTAAATTTGATGAGAAAATTTGAGCGCACATTGCTGAAAAGTACTGGAAAGCCAACGACTGTTTTCCTTCCACAAGCGCCGGTGACAGCACCACATTTCGCAGCAGCACTACGCATGTGAACGTGCACGCTGGTCACTTACCCCGTTTTCAGCCAGCATTGCGAGCAGCCTCTGTAAGGGTGACCCTACTGTCTTGTCTTAAATTAGATTACCTCTGGAGATTACTGAGCGTTGTTGAGCAGATACAAACAGTACGAGGCATTACAAAAGCTGGAGCAGTTCGTTATGGACGCATGTGACAACTCTAAACCGAAGACATGCATAAATTTGTCAGAAGCATTTTCGACTTGATAAAGTTGTAGAAAGGCCCGGTAAACTGGTGCCGTATAATTGTAAAACAGTGAAACAATAAACATGCCTTTACTTGTAGAAAATCAAGCGAGTAGACGTATTGAGTGAAATGTGATTTCATTCAATGTCATGTGTAGATCACATAGGCACTGATTGGAGTACTCGATTTCTTCCGTAAATCCGGAAATCCAAGATTTCGGGCGATGTCGTATAGTTATAAAACGCACTGTATCTATCTGGGTTCGAGTATGAAGTACTCAATAAAAGGTGGTGAAAAGGATTTGAAGCCTCGTAACTTCTGCAACAAGAACATCGACAAAAGTAGCACTGATGCCGCGTCGTGTTCTTCCCTTTGACAGATTATGTAAGAATTGGAGAAGAAGTGTCCAAAGACGGTAATCATACAATTGGCCATTCTTTCAAATAAAGTCCTATTCACATTGTATGAATGGAAAATTACAGCCGAACGAAGGAGGAAAAAAGGATTTTTCAGATAGTGTTGAAATTTATTTACATTGGTTTGATTATTTGATTTAAGAAAGGGTTTTGAATTTTTCAGCGTGATTTGTGGAGTATAATAAAAACTTATCACATGTAATTTTCAAAAAAGGAGAAGAACAATTCTATGATAGTTTGAGTGTTTTTCACAGCAACAGTGAAGCATGTAAGAATATCAGGTAGAGACTATCTGTTTTGCGAGTGCAAAGTTTGTTCGTGAAATTTTCATGCTCCCTTAGTTCTTATTGTTAGATGAGCGATTGGTTTGCAGCAAGATGTGCACATCATTGAGAAGAGCTGAGCATGCTTTTACAAGTGAACTTATTGCATTCGATAAAATGCTTATCTACTCCAATTTCTTAGCTTTCAAAAATAGAAGTTTTGAGAACAAATAAAAATTCAACAAACGTTTCGGCACGCGTGCAATTTTTACTACAAGAGGCGTTTTGGCATAGAATTTATACCGACATTGGCACTCGCATCAAGGCGTCACATGAATACATGATTTGATTTGCTTCAAAAGCCAAGAGGTAAGCGAGGCGTTTCTTGACCAACATTTTTGGTGAAACGTGCAGAGGTGCTGCACAAAAAATTGCTAGACAAGAACAAAGCGGTGGCTCATATTGTACGCAATCCTACTGCACCGTTTGAACGAATCCCAACACCAGGAAAGACCCGATGGAGAGGTCCAGCGGGTTTGTCTGCAAAACAAAGTTTGGCGTCGTACGGCAAACGCTGCCAAAAGTCCTGCAACATTTGACCGAAGGTATCCAATGTACTCTTTGATTCTCGCTAATATCTACTGTTTCATTCTATCGCAAATCATACAAACGGCGTTTGCTTAGATTCTCAAGACGATCTCAAGCGCTGCTTAGAAAACTTCACTGGATTCAGACTTTCTGAGCTTTTACAAAACTTGAGTGAAATTATGACTGGAAGGTGGCAAAAGGTTGTACTCAATAAAAGATATCCGTCGACGACTGATCCGACTCGTGCAATTGCGCTACTGTGGGCGTGCTTTTTTGGAGCATTTTTGATTGAACAGTACTCTTCAGCGCACGGGGACTTGCAGCGTCCCTGCCCTTTAACCACTTTCGTTTGCTAAGCATTCAATATCTTTTCTTCTTATTTTTCATTTCAGTCAGTCTCGTTTCAATGTCTTTGTGAGACCATCGTTCGCACGCAACATCAAAAGAATAAGCTTTCGTAGTTGCTAATGGTAGATATCATGGTTATGATTGGTTGCTTGTTTTCTTTGATGAGTTATATTTTTAGGACAAACCACTAAAATGTTTACTTCTACTCCTACAGAGAGACACCATGTCAAAGTGCTGAAATAAACATTCGTGATCTTATCTAAGGAAAATGCATGATAGCCATCAATGCTTATGAACAAAGCTCAACTTTGATTTAACTTTGCCCAGGCGATGGTTCACGACTTTGGAAATGTATGGTTGATAGGTAAAAAGGGAGAGGAATCGAGAAATATACCCAAATTAATTTTTCCCTCAACTTTCAGTATTCATCAAAGTAGAACGTAGGATATTTGAGCATCGAGAAAACTACGAGAAAAAGAGTATGAATGACTGCTTAAAATCAAAAGCCAAGAAAAAATAACAATGTGAAATATTGAAAGCAACTAAAGAGTTTAAAAGACAGTGTTGCTGCGAGCTACACTTTCCCCGCGCGCCGCAGCGTACTATCAGACTGGAAAGGCTCCAAAAATGCACCCCCAAGTTGGTGTAATTGCAGGAGTCGGGGCAGTCGTGTACTTTTTGATTTTTGACGAAATGGCAAATTTTGAAATAAATTTGCCATTTCGTCAGTCTATATTAACTCTACGAACTTATGGAGCGACCTAAGATTACGCTATCTTCAGTACCGGAGTAAATTCTACATAGCCATATATCAGGATCATCTTCCATAAAGAGCATGCTATAGCGCTTTATGGGGAGATGTTCAAACGTAGCTTTGCATAAGCTATCACCGAGAACGAAGTTTTCATGGTGTTCGGAAGTTTTCATGGTGTTCCAGGGTGAGTTTGGCGCCTTAGATCGGCAGAGGTTGGTTCCTAGTCCAAAATATCTAGAAAGTAAGTTTTTTTTACATAGCAGCAGTCCATCTTTCAATAGCGTATGAAATGTGCAGGCAAACTCCGCGAAAAATGACATTTTGCAAGGAAAGTTTATTCATGACCATCCTTTCTCCGGAGAAACACTTGACAAGAACCGCCATCTAATGCGTACAAGCATTGTACGTTTCTTTTTTGAACTGCGTTCTGAAAAAAATTAGAGTCATAAAAAGATTTGAATAGAATGGCTTTTCCACAAATACTTTACTTTCGCATCCTTAAGCGTGATTAGAGCATGTCACACTAACATGCCTACTAGATTGTGGAAAAAAGTTCGCAGCTTTTCCAGGCTAAATAACAGCAGTTTCTTAACATCAAATTAGCTGGTTTTCCCGGTCTAGCCCGGGCCACGGCTTCAGCTGATCCTTGCCTTGCTCCAGCCCCATTCCCCGCCGATCCTTTCCACCTAACCATTATGCTGCGCTGCAAGGGGTTTCTTATCAAAGTGATTCACTCGCTTGGGCTCGTCCTGACTTACCCATCCTTCCTAACGCGAAAATCGAAAGAACTTTACCGCTACTGTTTACAAGAAATCATGGAAATGACTTGTTAACGGATGTTGAGAAATCGTTCTTATGCCAAAAATCAATTAATAAATAGAATGGCTCAGCAAATCGCCGCGAAAAATAACCCTAGACAACCGCCGTGATTAAATACATATGTCAGCAGAGTTTCAGTTAAATCGGTTCAACAAGCTTTCTATAACGAACGAACAACCAACGAACACAAGCTTTGAGTCATATATTAGGTCATTTCGAAAGTAATTTCGCTTTTTCAAACGGACACCACATGTGATGGAGCGAAGATTTCTAATTGTAAGAGATCTTGGCAGCATTCGATGCAGCATTTCATTTTCTTTCTAACAGTAGTGAATTTCTCGCAGCCCAGTCATTGAGCATTCGGAAATAATCAAAACCTGTGACGCATGCTTTTTGAGATGGTCAAGTTTCACAATTTT